GAGTGAGCTATTATTATAACTAAAGTCAGGCGTCTCAGGCTTCAGACATCTCAGGCAAATCTCTCACGTCTGAGGAAGTGATGGAATCGAAGCAGGGACCAAAGGAAAGGTCATACCCCTAGGTTACCCACTGGAGGAAAAAGATGTGGTCTGGAATCTACTCCTGTTCTTTCCTTTTGGGAGGAGGGAATTTTTTTTGGTGGGGGGGAGGAGGGAATTTTAAAAAGAGCAAGTGATTAGCCAAACCTTGCTCCACATTGGTACCTGCTGTTTATGTGTGAATCTGTACACCATTCACAGAAAAACAAAACAAAACATGTTTTAAGTATCTGCTTAAACAACAAAGAAAAGAAATATGGACTATTTAAAGGTTCATGCTTTCAATTTCTGGTTGCAGTCATTTGTACATTTAGAAAGGGGATTTCTTAGGTTTCTTTTACTCTCCTCTTTCTCCCAGGCTTCCTTGCTCTCTCAGTGGGCAAACTGGAAGAAGATATTCAGTCCGACAATGAGAATAAATAGTTCCCCCAAATCACTGAGGAAGCATAGTTTTTATTAGTCCTTGCTATTTTGTCAATACCTTTTGTTTCTGCCTATCAACACCACAGTGCCATAACTGCTGCCTTTCCTGAACCAGATGGAATCCCACCTGTTCCTGGCTTAGTCACATTGACCCTTTTCTCATCCTTCCTTCAACTTTTCCTCCTGCTCAACTCTCTCTGGAAGTTGTGTAGTTCTCCATTTGGTCACCAAGGACTAGAATAGAATGAATCTATGAATGCCTATGGTCTTCTAGTCTCCTTATTCCTCCAATTCTTATCTTTCAGGAGGGGTCATTGCTACCAAAAGGAATATTACAAATATGAGGTTCAAAAAGGAAAAATCATTTTCCTAAGGTTACATAGCTAGTAAGTAACAAACCTTGAACCGAGGTCCTTTAAACTTAAATCCACTGCTCTTTCCATTATATTGAAATTAAGTATGCATATCATTACTAGGAATTTGACTGCAAAAAAGAAGAAAAGACAGAGAATGGGAGCTTGAGGAGATAGTAAAGTCAAGAGAAGGTTTTATTAGGATGGGAACCATTCAGTGGGGAGAAGTCCAGGCAAGGCCCACAGGAACCAAGGCGGCTAGCAATTTCAGGGAAAGCAGAGCAATACTGATGGAAGAAGCAATTGAGGGGTGTGGTAGATGATTAATTGGACCCCTATTTTGTTCCAATCAGTATTAATCAGTTTGATAGGATTCCACAGGGGCAGTGATCATAAATTCTGTATATTAGACCCCAGAGCTATGAACTGCAGATTGTAAGTTCACTTGCTTAATCATAGGAAGCTAACAAAAGGATCTCCACCCTTGTTTTTCCTTGTTATGGTGACTAAGGCCAGTGTGACGGAGATGACTCAATGACATGGAAAGTCCCCCCGCTATTTTTGTTGCTCCTCTATCCCTCATTATCCCTCTATTGCCCAACATGGGGAGGTGGCTATGAGCATTTGGCCAACAACTGACTCTGCTGACCTGTGGCCTGCCTTTCTACTGGCCCATCAGCCCATGTAGATGTTTTGATATCTATTGACCAGCCAGTCCATGGGTCTGCTCATCAGTTCAGTAGGACCTCCTGAAAGGTCAAGATAGGTCTGTCAAGGTCTGCTCATTGGCTTGTTTGTCAATCAATGGGAACCTGTATTTTGTATAGACCTTCCTGAAGTTTCAAAGAGGATCTATCAACTGAGGCTCTGCATTTTTCTGTGCTTCATCTGCATTGTCTGGGTATCAAGCACTATAAAACTAAGGTCCTGGAGAAGGGGTTACCTCAGATCATAAGAAAGATCCAAGGTCTAAATCTTCGAAGGGAACAATTCATGATTCAGTTCCTTTAATAAATAGTTAATGGCTTGCAGTTCTACCTCAATGGTTTTTCTTGAAAATTGGATAATTTTGGACCTGGGAGAGACAAATCATCTAAAGCTAACACCAAGAGTTGGTGTAGTATATAGTTTCAAATATGTGTGTTAGAAACAAACTTTGGGGGCAGTTAGGTGGCACAGTGGATAGAGCTCTGGCCTTGGAGTCAGGAGGACCTGAGTTCAAATATGGCTTCAGATACTTTACACTGACTAGCTGTGTGACCCTGGGCAAGTCACTTAACCCCGATTGTCTCACCAAAAAAGCCAAAAAAAAATTAACTTTGTAGGCCTGTCTCCTTATACTGTCCCTCTCCAACATCATCTTATTATGTTGGAGGAAACTCCAGAATCAGGGCAGAAATCTCTCAGAAGATGAATCACTGATTCAGCTGTAGGAGTATGACAGAGGTGAGGGGAGACTTGAGGCAGGGAGACTAACCAGAAAGTTATTGCAATAGTCCAGGTGTTAGGTGATGAGGGGCTGCACCAGGGTGATGGCTGTATCAGAAGAGAGGAGGGGGGCGTATATAAGAACTGTTAAGAGGACGTAGAAATGACAAGGGTTGGCAGAAAATTGGTTATGGGGGTGGGTGGGTGAGAGAGTGAGGAATTAAGGATTCAAGGTGAATGATCAAGAGGGTGGTGGCACTCTCCATAGTATTAGAGAAGTCAGGAAGAGGGGATGGTTTGGGGAAAAAGATAGTGAGTTCACTTTTGGACATGTTATATTCAAAATGTCTATGGGATTTGTAGTTCTAGCTGTCCAGTAGGTAGTTGGAGATGTCAGGTTGGAGGTCAGAAGAGAGATTTGGACTGAACAAATAAATCTGAACATACCCTTTCATAGAGATATTCATTGAATCCATGGGAACTGTTGAGATTACCATGTGAAATAGTACATAGGTTAAGAGAAGAGGGATGAGGACAGATCCTTAGATAATTCCAATGGTTAGTAGGCCTGACCTAGATGAAGATCCAGCAAAGGAGATTGAAAAGAGGCGGTCAGACATATAGGAGGAGAACCAGTAGAGAACAGTGTCACAAAAACCTAGAGAGAAGAGATTATCAAGGGTAAGAGGATGATTGACTGTGTTAAAGTCTGCAGAAAGGTCAAGAAGAATGAAGATTGAGGAAAAATCCATTAGATTTGGCATTAAGAGATTATTCATAATTTTGGAGAGTGACATTTCATTTGAATGATTGGAAGGTTGGAAACCAGAGTGTAGAGTTGAGAAGATAATGAGAGGGAAAGAAGTGTCAACATCTATTAGAGATATCCTTCTCAAAAAGTTTGGCCAACAGGGAGAATAGATAAAGGATGATAAAGGAATGGGATCAAGAGATAGTTTTTTGAGGATGGGGAGAAATGGGCATATTTGTAGGCAGTAAGGAAGCAGTCAGTAGACAAGGAGAGATTCAAGATTAGTGAGATAGTAGGGGAAAAGGGAACAATTGGCTGGAGAAATCAGTATGGAATGGAATCACTTGTGCCTATTGAGGGAAGTACCTATCATTTATTATATAGAGAAATATCTATTTCCCACCCCATAAAATTGTATATCCCTCAGGGCCATGTTTCAAACCCCCCCCTTTTGTCTCAACACTCTACACTCTTGATAATCTCATCAACTCCCATGACTTCAATTATTAGCTCTGTGTAGATGAATGTCAAGTCTATCTGCCCAGTCCCAATCTCTCTCCTGAAATCTGGTTCCAGATTTTCATCTATCTGTTGGAATTTCTCCCATGTATACTATGAACATCCAGAACCTAAAATGTCCAAAGTAGAAATCATTATTTCACCAAGTAGAACTACTACCAAATATTAGAAGGACTTCTCCTCCAACAAGGTATCTTACATGCATATGTTAAGATCATACAAAATTCCTTGATAGATGCCAACCCAGAGATAATTTTGTTTCATGATCCCACTCTGCTACAATTTCTTCAATTATAAAATGATGAGACTAGATTCCTTCTAACTCCAAGTCTACAATCTTTTTCTGCAAAAGGTTGTTTGGTTACTTGGTTATAGCACCTTCTCCCCACAGGGTGGCAGAGCAACTAGCTACAAAATATAAATATTATCTAGGCTAGTTATAGCCTTAGCACTTGTATAGTAACATCTAGCTAATTACACACTCTCCACATCCCAGCCCTAATCTTGAATTTGGTATAATTTATGGTATATTTATACTATCGATATAAATTATAGAGCCTGGACTGAAGTTTACCTTTGTTTTTACAAAATCTCTCTTCTGAGAGAGAATACAAAGTAATGGTACTCATAGGGAGAGTGCTTGAACTTATTAAGATGAACATTTTCAAGTCCCTACATGAAACTTCTCCTACAGAATTATCCTGTCAGACAATATAAAGTCTTGGAGGGCAGGCATTCCTTTCTCTCCCTTCCTTTTCCTCCTCCCCTTGTCCTTCTTCCTTTTCTTTCTCTCTTCTCTTTCCCCTTCCCCTTGAATCTGGTGTTAAATGGGTTACTCTGGTCCCATTGTTGGGGGCTGAGTTACATTTTATTCCTCCCCCAGGAGGTTCTCCAGTACTCTGAGGTTCTCAGTTCTCTGCCTCTGACTTGATCCCCCACTGATTGTATTCCCTGCTAATTTTAGTGGTCTGAGCACCCCATTTCCATTTAACTTCTTAACAGTTAGATTAGCGTTTACAAAGGAATATAATGTACTATATCACTAGTACAGCAAAAATAAACATTTTACCCCAACACTATTGGGGCATTCATCTCAGTCTCTGGAGAGAGAAGAATAGGTATATAACTTACTCAGTTCCTATATGGCATTAGTTTTAAATAGTTCCAAGATCAAAGTCCCCCGGGGCTAGCTTCCTGGGACCCTTGCTTCTCAAACCTTCCTTAATGGGTTGGTTTCAACATCTAACCTGAAATCCTGAGGTCACCTCTGTGAGTGACCAAGTCCTCTACTTTTGAACTTGGCTGGAAAAGACAGAGAGCTTGTCCCAGGCATGTAGTTTTAAAGTTGCAGGCAGATCCAGCTATGTAGCCATTGGAAAGCGGTGACTCTCAACCACATGGTAAACCAACACAGAAAGTCCATAAGCATGCACCAGCCTCCTGTCTCCCAGAACCAGAACCCTGACATCTCCCATGTGGGTGCCTCCTTCTTAGGTGATCTGGGCAAGTAGGATTTTATTATATTGAATTTCTAGGGGAAAAATTGTTATATTGATTATAAATCCTTATCTAATCCATCAGTGTTAGCTTACTTGGTATTATTACAGGTATCTGAAACTAATAAAAGTGACATTTTTTGGGAGGCGGGGCTAGTCAATGGGTTAAGTGACTTGCCCAAGGTCAAACAGCTAGTAAGTGTTATGTGTCTAAGAACAAATTTGAACTCAGGTCCTCTTGACCCCAAGGCCAGAGCTCTATCTACTGTGCCATCTAGTTGCCCCAAAAGTGACTTTTAAAAACATTCTATAAGTGTTTACAAATCAAATTGACTTATTTGCAATTAATATAATTTAATTAGTGAGATTTTTTGGGAACTATTTGTTGAAGAAACTTAGAGAAGATTTTTGTATAGAAAGACAGGTTATAGAAAAGATTTCACTCTGTTTCAGACATGCAATTGCTGCTGCTGAACCTAGCAAATGGAATTCCCTTATTTCCTTACATGTTATATAACACTCAAGTACCCAACTATTGCTAGGTTCCTAGATCAAGAACTCTTATTCTTATAAAAGGGGCCTGCCTTACTTTACCTAGTTCACCAAGATTTCCACTCAGATCAAATTCATGAAATCAGAAGCTACTAATACAGCCACCCTTTCCACAGCCGTTATATTGGGGCTACCTGTACTGTTGAAAGTGTAAACTCCCCTGAAATCTCCTTTTCTTTGCATTAACAATTAAATTAATTAAGTTATCCTAGTTATTGCAATTGTGGTTTTCTTTGCCTCATTGTTTCCATAGTTCCCTGAATCTGAACCCTCCACAGTCAACACCATCACATAATCAGCATCTCTGCTTCGTTTTGATTCCACTGAAAGTCAAGCCTCCACCAAGATAAAATGATCCCCGGAAATCTCATCAGCATACAGATGAATTCATATTTGATATTTAACACCTTCTCTTCTCCCTCAGTTGCCTCTCCCCTCTGGAGGGTGATGCCATAAATTTCTCCCCAAAATTTTCTTTATAGGGGGCTCAACTCTCCATATAATTTTGTTCTCTCTCAGTGGCTTTGCTTGGTTTTGACTCCACAAACATCATACCCCTGTGCTAATACCCCATAACTCCCTCCCCCTTGTTAACTTCCTTTTGTGTATTTATCCATCCCCATTCGATTGTAAGCCTGTTGAAAGTAAGGTTGTCTTTCTAATCCTTATTTGTAACTCTAGCTTTTAGCACAGTGCCTGATATGTAGCAGATGCTTAATTAATGCTTATTAAATTAAATTGGATAGCCTACTCTAAGCAGTTAGGATACAGCATAACATAATATACAATGCAAAAGTGTTTTTGTTTTTTAGGTTTTATTTTTATTAGATTTTTTTAGAAGGTCTTTACCCTCCAAAGATCTCATCATCTTCCCAAAGAGTAATCGGGGTTGGTTGGATGACCCCTTTGATAGAAAATAGGCTTTAGATTTTAAGTTCCTGATTTACCTTTGCCATTTCAGTGAAAAGACCTCAGTTCCAGTCTCATTTCTGTGACCTATTAGCAGTCATTAGTCACTTTAAGCAAGTCACTAAACTTATCTGAGCCTCAATTTCCTTATCTGTGAAATGGAGATAATGCACTTTATTGTGAGGATGAAATGAAATGATGTATGAGTGTATTAAAGTGGGGAGGGGGACATAGAAAAGAGCTGTAAAATTGTGATTTCAATTGAGTTTACTAAAACTTTTTACTATCTCTCTGATGGGGTGATGGGACCTGGGCCCATAAAAAGAAAAGACCATGTCTTTGAAAGCAACCCAGTCCCTGAATTTTCCCATACATTTCAGTAGCCCAAGGTATCTGGCCCACCCCAGTCCACGTAGATCACTTAATTAGTTTACTTGACAGTCCTGTCACTGTCACTGTCACTCTTAGCCCACCCCAGACTACTTAATACTCCTTTCACTATTGCACCTGGCCCAGCCCCATCCAGTTCTTTTCACTGTCCCTTTTTTGTATATATATTTGTTTGTATCAATCTCATTCCCATTAAGTACAGATTCACTAGGAACTCTGCCCACTCCTATTGGCATTACAATAAACCTTGCCACCTTGACTGAAAGAAGGCTTGAGTGCTTAAATTCTTTCCAGGCAGACTCACCCTGTACCCTGACATTTCCAGGTTCCCAGCAATCCCAAACCATGTTATTGTGATTCTGAGCATCCCAAACTGCATCATCTCTACTTTTCTCTTTATTTGCTTTTCTGATCACTATCTTCTTATATTCTCTTCTATCTCTTTCCTCTCCTTTTCAATGTGTTTCTTTCCTTGGGGCTTCATTATACCTCTTGCCTCTACCCCACTCTAAAGTGTGGGGAGGAAGAGACTTGTCTTAACTCAACTGTATAGTTCTCCCAGTTCCAAATACAGCTCCTCCAACTCCAGCACTCTATCTATTATGCTGTGTTGACTTTCATTGTGATGCCATTAGAAATTACCCAAACTCAAAATGATGAAAATCCCACAAATACATTCCTTCTCCCTAGAATCTTTTGCCTATTTCTGTTTTGGTTTTAAATTGTCCCTGAAATTTTATATAACCCTTATATTAGATGCTCCTTGCTAAGATGAATTTCCAATACACACATTGAGTGCCTTTCAATTGTTTGGTTTCTTTTTGCCACCCAAAACATGGAACATGGAAACTCTAGTATCTGGTATTCCTTAAGAGAAACCCTCAGTTCCCCTTATAAGCTCTCGGGGTCACATAGCTTCAAAGCACAGATCAATTTTATTTACATAGCAAAGGACTTACATCTGAGTCTGCATAGAGTCATGAGAAACTCTCATGGTGATCCATAAGGAGGGTCACCTTCTCTGTTGCCCCAAGACCTGTAAAGTGCTGAGAGAAATGATTATTAAATAACACATTATTGGGGAGATCCACGATTTTTTTCGCTTCCTATAGCCTCATTCTTCACTAGGTCAAGCCAGCATCTGAAAGACATTGCTGATAATGAGATTGGATAATTTTCTCCTCACTCTTGTTCAGTCAAGTGGAGTAACCCATTGTGTTCTACTCGGGCTTGGGAGTTACTTGGGGGAGAGATACTTTGTCAGAAGTGCAAAGTGTGCATGCTTTGTGTTCAGAACCAAGGCTATGGTGAAATTGCACAATGCAACGTGGGCAAGCACTGCCAGAAATACCTGGTGTTTGATTGTGAATTAATTTTTGATTGTTGCACATTCAGAAACCTTTTAGTGTTGCCAAAATTTTAAAGAACTCATATGGGGTTGAGACTCACAGTTTAAGAAGTGAAGGTTAGATTGCTGAGGCCAGGGTTATCTGGGAGCAACAGTGATCAAAGTCACATCCTCCCCAGCCCCTCATTAGAATAGGTCTACCTCTCATTATAATATTCATTCTTCTCATTAATTGTTAACCAATCAGAGTTGATTGCCACCCTTAGGAACAGCCATGTTCGTGGGTTCCATGAGGGATCTTTGGTTCAGGAGAGACAGCCAAATCACCAATCCCATTAATTATGAATTATCCCATTAATAATAATTTCATTAATAATTATCTGCTAGTGATAGATAATAAAATGATTAATTACCCAAAAATTATGTCTCTGGAACTTTTTATACGTCACAGTACTTACAGAATTCCCAGAAAAAAGGAAGGCCAATTTGTATTCTTCCGTGCCAGCTTCAGTTGCTCTTTTTGCTGCAGCTTTCTCTTCTCCTCTCTAATAGTGCTCTGCCTCACTGTTGCCTCCATATCTGTCAGTTGTTGCTCTGTAACACACTGTTCATTTTCCAGCCTCGTCTGCTCTGCTCTGACAGTCATACAATAACAATTATCAATGCTGGTGAACTCTTCTTCTAGATCCTTGCTAGCATCTGGTCCATGTATTGATTTCACTGTAACATAGGCTCAAAGCAGTTTATAGCTCTTTCCCACATCTATGGCATTGAATGACTCAGGCCTAGTTTCATGTTCTATAGCTTTGAACTTGAGTCCCATGGCCCTGCACACTGCACACATGCTATTTAGGTGACTGTGGGAATGTCTCTTTTTTGGATTGTTGAGGTCAGAGTCGGGAGAGTGGTTTGGGTGTGAAAGAATTCACTTAGACTTCTCTTTTAGCCATCGGGGAGCTTTATTAATGTGAAAGCACATGGACTTTTACTTTAGCAATGTGGTTGAGTAAAAGGTACTAATATTTGGGGGATACTAGGCCTATATAGACAGAAAGCTATACAGTCCATAGATGTTCAGGATGATAATGTAGTTTTAGGGTTTTATGGTGGTTAAAGATTAAGGACAGGATAGGGAGGACATAGGTTAAAGATTAAGGACAGAGGGGACACAGAATAAGGGAGACAAAAGCAATTCCTTTGGTACAAGTTAAGAAGTTTTATGATATTTCAAGATAAGGGGAAACGGACTTTAGGATGCTCTCAAGTTACAGAATGAGCCTCCCCTCAGGAAGGGCCTCACAAAGTACTAGAAAAACAACCCTTAATATTCTTTTTTTTTTTTTTAGGATAATTGGGGTTAAGTGACTTGCCCAGGACACACAGCTAGTAAGTGTCAAGTGTTTGATTTGAGGTCAGATTTGAACTCAGGTCCTCCTGACTTCAGGGCCGGTGCTCTGTCTACTGAGACACCTAACTGCCCCTCCTTAATATTCTTCTTATCCACATCAGGATCACTGGAACAAATCTCTCAATCCAAGTTAATACAAGGTGAGTCCATCATCTTTTGTCTTTTCTACCTGGACAGTATATCTGCTGTGTCAACTCTTCTCTTGAATCTTTTTGTAGTCAGATTGTCAAAATGCTTTCATCATTTGTCTTTTCACTTTGGGTTTTCTTCCTTGACAGCTGGACTGGATTATACAAATTACCTTGGGCAACTTCTTTCATTTTTATGTAATCAAACAAAAACTTTACCAATTTTAATGTTATCACATTACTCAGTGAATAAATATTTGCCC